ATTGGATCGTTCTGGATGCAAAAGGGAACTTCATTACACAGCGAAAAGATCCAAAATTAGCGCTTGTTGTTCCTCATTTTGAGGATGGCAGATATCTTTGCCTGAATGCTCCTGGAATGGAAATGTTGAAACTGGAAATACAGCTACCAGTGGATCAAAGGGAATTCAAACGAATAAAGTGAGTGCATTTAAAATATTTGTAATAATTCTTAATTTAAAATTGGTTATGTACATACCTAATCTACTCATCATTCTTCCAACACCTTAAAATAATGTATTATAGTAAATAATTATTTTCACAAACCACACAGAATATTTGGAATGGAAGGAGAGGGCCAGTATGTAGGAGATGAAGCCTCAGAGTGGTTTTCTAAATACATGAATAAACCTGGTTATAAGATGTACAAGTTGTCCAGGACTCGAGTGATAAGGACACATGATGAATGGAGTGACATTGGAGAGGCTGGAGACCAGGTAATGAAACAGAGTTTCTTTTTTCTTTTACTGATAGTAGTTAATGCCATCTCTTTGGAATCTAATTAATCAAACTTACTATTGTTTAGTTTCTTTTTAGGTGATTTGGAAAGTTTTTAAGACTTATTAAAGAGATTATAAAATACTTCCAAATTTCTTCAAATCATTGCCAGGTGCTTATGTAAAAAGTGCTCATTGGAAGGAGGGTACTTAATCAATCGGGCACCTGTTATACCACAGGAAGCCCAGGCTCCAGCGGTCAGATGATCATCTTACAAAATGGGAGTCATTGCAAAATTATAAGAGTTTGTATGGAATATTTATGACTGCTTTTAGGAACAAAAAAACACAGCCAAATTCTTAATAAAATTACCTCATCTGACCTCCACAGTGCATTGCTTGTTATCTGACTGCTTACCATGTTGGAAAGAACCCGTTTTAGCATGTTATCCATTTCAAGGTTTACTATGTACATAGGAGAAGCTTCTCTTCTCTGGGTGGCCTGTGGTTTTTCCTCTGTGCTGATTCTGCTGTAGATTAAGCCTAAAAGTTTATAAATGAAGTGGTGACAGACACAGGTTTTCCTTGTATCCCTACTATTAAGAAATTGAGAGAGGTGTAAGGGAGGAGCTGCAGGGCACTTGTTTGACATTATAGCTGAGGGAGGATGCTTATTCGAGGGAGGGCCCTTATTAGAGCATGGGTGCTTTTTCAAGAAAAAAACAGATCTTGAAGTTTTGATGATAATTTAAGTGTTCAGGGAGGAAAGAATTAAGTATGGCATGTGTTATGTATATTTTGACATTAAATCTTTGCCAGATCAGTTTACTTTTTGTCTTAAATTAACAGGCAACATTTGGGGATTTTGCTCCATACATGATTCTTGCTGAAGCTTGCTTGGCTTCACTGAATCAAGAACTTTCATTACCTTTGGAAATGGAACGATTCAGGCCTAACATTGTGGTCAATGGCTTAAATGCATTTGAGGAGGTCAGTTTTTCAACAAACCAATTTTCACCTTACCTCTTTATAGCTGTGGTCATAAAATCATCATGAACATTTACATCAATTTTTGAATTTCAATGTCCTGATTCTTAAAAATGCAGCTTGATCAACTCAGGGTATGCTTTCATTCGTTATGATTATTTTGACCTACAATGTGACACCTCATAGAAAAATTTCAATTGACATGGCTCTTAACTGTTTGCAGACATTTAAATGAAATGTCTTGTTAGTAAGCTGTAATTAAATTTTTGCCATCTTTAGTCAAACCTAAAATAAAATTTTAATTCCTCTTCAGGACAAATGGGAGGGTGGAAGAAAAATCCAAATAGGGGATGTGGTGTTTCGATACCTAAACAACTGTGCAAGGTAAGCTTTTCAATATGTTGTACGAGCCATATTTTTTATATTCAAAGCTAATGCTCAATAGGTGATAATTTCCTAAACACTGAACTTGTATTTGCTACAAAACTAGAAATTATTGACATTACAATATTGATTGATCACAACTATCTTTCTTTAAAAGGTGCAGTCTGCCAATTGTTAATCCAAAAACAGGAGAGAAAAAAGGAGAAGAGCCTTTGAAAACTTTGCGAAGGTACAATTGAAATTCAAAATCTAGCTATGCTCTTAAAAAAAGCATGTTACTTAATTCAATGTTTTCTTTTCCTCTTCTAAATTTTCTTAAGAAAGAAAGGTGATTGGTAGAACATATATGTGGGTGACAATTCCCAACAGTTTTCACCCTTTCTTTTGACATGTGGTGATCACTACACGGAATATCAAAATCAACTAAACCTTATGGCATATTTAATTTGTTTTTTCAACTTATTCCAGAATAAGGCTTCCTGAGGATAGAGATCCACGATATGACAGATCCCCTCTGTTTGGGATCAATGCTGCTCCAGACACAGATGGCATGGGGGTCATACGCCAGGGAGACGTTGTCATGATTTGGTCTTGAGCCATCAGGGAAGGAAACATTCCTTATCATCCTTATGTTCTATAACAAGTTTGATTTCAGAAAGAGCTGCAAAAAATGCATAGCTTTTAAAAAGTAAAGACAGCAACTCAAGTCTAAGGTTGTATTGATTATACTGTTACTTTATCTGGGTGTTCAAAATCACGTAGTTGTCTACCTTTCCATAACACACATTAAAATCAGTTGAAAACTGTTCTTTCTTGTCTGGTGGTAATTTTTGTAGCAGAGCAATACAGACCCTTGGACCCTAAGCTGTGAATACAGTAAATTTATTTTATCAGACATTTTGGTGTGTAGTACTGCTGAGTATTTTTATGAGTTGTGTCGTATTTTGACAAGCCTGCAAGGCTTTTGCAGTCAGATTACAGGCAACGAAACATTGAGTTTGAAAGAAGGAAGCAGAAGGTCCAGTTTGTCAAAGAATTAATTCATTTTGTGGTAGTTTCAATTTTGGACATCTTTACCAAGACCTTAGTAAGTTTATACCTGTCAATGCAAAACAAACAATATTGGCAAATACAATGTTTATTTATTGGTAGTCCCCATAACTTTACTTTCTGCATGAGGAAGTATAACCAACCTCACTCCATATTTTCATGAGAAGCTGGACTATTCCACAATACAATTAAGCTACCTGCCCTTTTTTCTCTTATCCCCAAGTTATTACAAACCCAAAAACCATTAAGATACTTCACATTTAACATGTTTGCATAATTAAACCATCAGATTTAAATAAGAACTGAACCCTTCATTTTAATTAGTAGACCCACTTCAAACATAGCTTAAATATTAAATAAGAACCTCTTATAGCAAATACACTATTCCCTCCCCTGTAACAAAAATCAGTGAATAAATCAATCTATTAAATTAAGATTTTGTTTCCACTTCCTCAAAGGGAAAAATAGTGAGTGCATGAAAAATAGTGAGTGCATGAAATCTGAGAATATGAAACAAACAAAACAAAACAAACAAAAAAACGGTTCTAAATAATAGGTGAGTTATTGTCTGAGCGAAAACAGTCTGATTGGAACAAAATATAAATACAATATGTTAATGATAAACCTTTCAGCCCAAATTTGCATTCCTACTGAAGGATATTATCAGGTAAAAAGCTGTAAAATAATTTTGGCTTACTGTAAAAAAAATAAATAAATAAATAAAAAAATAAAAAATAAAAAGGGACATTGTAATCCCCCAAATCTTCCACACTATAATGCTTCTACTCAAAGCAACGCTTTATCTACACTTGCAAAATTAAATATTAAGCAACACAATTAAATATTTATTGTTATTATAATTGCAGTTATTCTGAAACCATGACAGCATCTCCAATCTTTATAACTCCCACTGTATTGCCATGAGGGGTAACAAGAACTCCAAAAAGAGGGGCATTTCCTTGTCTTGGGTCTCTGTCTTCTGGAAGCCTTATTCTGAAAATAAATTAAAAGTTGCATTTGTTAGCAGAATTAAATGTATTCTTAGGCATCAGCTCATCAACAAGGGGTCAACTAGAAAGCAACCAATCCAAAGCAATGATTTCATCTTAAGATTGCACATTACATGAAATGATTAAACCTTCCAATACCAAGATCTCAATCTGTTTTCAATTCATAGTAATTCTCATTACCATCTGCCACAATTCCTTATAATTTTAGCACTGAGAATTTGTTGTTGGATAAAATATAGTCCCCTGGTCGATACCTACTGTCTTCGTATCAATTATGTGAATGATATGGATCAATGCCTGTATGATATGGATCAATGCCTGTATCTGAACAACTCCCCAATAACCCATCCCCTGGCCTAAGTTAAGGTTAATGTTGGGTAAGGGGAGGGGTAGGTGTGCAGATTTTGTGCTGACATTGTTCCTTTGATTATGTATTAAATGTGGAGGGAGAAGTTATGTCTTGTTTACTCTTGGGAGGGAAAATAAGTTTGATAAATGTAGCAGCATACTAATTTTTCTCCATGTCTCAAAATTAACAAAAAAGCTCTCCAATCTTAAAAATTAGCCAGAAAATTCAATAAGTAGCTGGAAAGTATCCAATTCTCTGATGCCTTTTGATCAGTTCCTGCCAGATTGTGGTTAAAAGCCATATTGTTGAAAAGAGCACAGTCCAAATGACACTACAAAGTGTCAATGGTCAATCAATTTAATATGAAAATCATTTTAACCTCAGTTGGATTTCAGTGCTGACATGAACCGCCAGTGGAGTATGGTATGCATTCATTTCTGTATTGTGGAATAAGGGCTAAACCCTTGCAAGGTAAACTGTCAATTTGAAATTCTGCTGACTCTAATCTTTGTTAATCTGTGTCAAAAAATTGTTGGTGATGGGATAGAGAAACAATTACCTTCTTAAAGTTGCCAAAGGTTCATCTCCTTCTTTTTCACCTGTGTCAGGATTCACTGTTGTTAACTGACACCTTTGTAAACAATTCAGAAACTGGAAATCAGAAATATTGGGTAACTTTATATTGAAAGATGACATATAAGATATGCAAAATTTTTAGCCAACATTCACACAAACTGCAATTGAGTTCTATGCAACCAACATTACAAAGCAACTGTTAAATAAAATGCTAGTTTATACAATATAAGCCAGAAAGTGCATGTAGATTCTTGAATGTTTAAGTGAGCTTGTAAGAGGTTCCTCTTTGTAATATTCATGGCCCAGGGGCATAACTGGTAAAAAGGGAGATTTCATAGAGAGAAAAAGGTATGGACTGATAAACTGTGATGGACCCAGAATAAAATTCCAGTTCTAGCTTCACATGTAGCCTGCGTTTCTTGCTGATTCACATCATTGTTAGCTGGATTAAAGTTTCTCTCCCAATTCTTGTGTTTTCTACCCTTGACATGGGTTTCAAACTCCTTTTCCATATGCTGCTGCCAATGGCACACTAGGCAGCTGTGCCTGGAAAAGGGCTGTAAAGCAAAACCCAAACCCAAGATCCTCCTCACAAGTCTTACAGGCAGCAGTATAGACTATTGATAATCAACTTTTATTAAAACCCTACTCTGACCAAAACTAACTTTCAAGATAGCCACTGACACTTTTGATGCTATTTTTCAATGTATTTTATGACTGACTAACCTTCCACATCGTTTTAGGAATCTAAATTCAACATCTCCAACTTTTATTATCTTAGCTGCCCACTTGTCCTGTAAAAAAGGGAAAAAGTGTGACCATAATGAAAGTCTAATCAATTTTTATGCGATATCACAGAATGGATTGACATACTGACCTCATCAAATGCCTTCATACCCTCAACCACAACATTGGGACGGAATCTTTCCATTGTCACAGGAGATGAAAGTTCAGTATTCACAGCTTCTAATGAGGCCTCAGTTGCAATCAAGTATGGAGCAAAATCTCCAAATGCTGCCTGGATTGAACAACAAACAAGATATATAAGATGTAAAGAAGAAAAATAAATGAGGTAAGTCTTACTCTAAGAGTTAAACAGCTTTTACTAATGATCCTGCAACATCCTTGGAAATAGAAATAAATAAATATACTTTAATTACATCTTTATGTAGCATTGCAATCATTTCCATTCTTAGCCTTGCCATTTTTCTTCCTTAATCAAAAATGTCAGATGGCTCTGGACTTTGAGAGCATCCATTATGTGGTCCAACATGGCCAACAAAAGGTAAAAGGAAAGTCTGTACACAAGCCCTTTGGCCCTCCCCTGGATGGGGTGCAAATCCATTGCAAGGTTAGCCCTACATTTCATCAGACTTCCCTGATAATTTGCCAGGACCCATTTATACTCCTGGGTGGAGAAAGAGAGAGCTTTGCCCAAGAACATCACACATTCACCTAACCAGGTCTTGGACCCAGACCTCGACTCAGAATTCAGTGCACTGACAAGTAGAACACTGCGTCTTTAGCCTAGGTGTAGCCACACCCTCCCCAAAAGTGGCACAGGGGCTCCCTTGCCTCCATTTTACCTTTGTGAGGGGGAGGGTGTTGTTACTTGTAGGCTACTGCATCTTCCACGCGCGGCCAACAAGACTGTTCTATACACATCTGTTCCCTTTTGTTATGTTATATTTACCTTGTCACCTGGAAGAGCAACATCACCCCACTTGTCATCTTCACATATCACTCTTGGTTTGGAAAGTTTATACATCTTATATCCAGGTTTATTTAAAAAAGTAGATACCCACTCTGCTGCTTCATCTCCACAATAGAGACCTTCTCCATAAACCCTCCAAACCCTGGATTAGTTAAAACAAAAAAAAA